TTCGTGGTGCCATTTGAGAATAAACGGTCTCACGCCATCATTTTTTTACGAATGGCGCCTCGTCTTCAAAGGACACTCCACTGTCCCGAAAAATTCAACTCAAGTCATTATTTTATTACACAGAACCATTAACATCAGATGCTGCAAATTGATTTTGAGTTGCTGCGATCACGGCGACGTTCGAGAAGTTCTTTCTCTTGTTGCCAATTCTGAGCATTCCCATTATAAAATGTCTATAGGGTAGTACGTAATACAACGTCACACATGGATCGACCACAGCCAACATTGGTGACATGGCGAACACCAGATATTCGCCAACTAAGGACTCGAAGAGGCCCAGTTGCATAAAGAAGTACAGAAATTTGGTCGGAAATGAGAAGAATATTGGCATACACGATTGAATCACAAGCGCCTGAAAATATAGGATCTTTTTTGGGATCATTCCCTCAATTCTCAGCAACTGCAGGTTAACGGTGATAGTTTAACGTTTTGCGTTGAATAGTTCTCACCAGATATGCAAGGAGAACAAGGCACGTCCTGCTATTGGGGGAAATATTCTGAAAACTGCAGTCCCTTCCCTCTACCGACCAAATACGGCCTCCTCGGTGAGGATCCCTAACACATGACGTACATTGATGGAAAATCTCCTCAGAGTCATCGGCAGGTATGAACGCCTGCTTGGTCTCCGCACTGAGTTCCGAGGCTGCTCCATTTTCACAGTAACCCCCTGAACATACTGGCATGCAGCCAGCTCTTCGCTGTTTCTTGAATGGTTTTTTTGAAGTTAGTTAAAGTAGCGGTTGATTAAAGTAGGGACTTCAGTAATATATCATTTTGCAGCAATCTGTTCGGGACACTTGCGACTTGCGCGAAGGGGTGTTGTGTGCAACTCGCCGAGCGCTCCAAAGGTGACGCAGTTTCTGGGAAACTTCAACAAAGGGCAGATGCTGCCCATCAAATGACCTCGGAAACTTTTTTCTAGTCGATTATTTCTTCCGATTGCAGCCATAGATCTCGTTTAGACTAAGAGTCTTGGAAAGATTTGAATGAAGTACTAACAATTAGAAGTAGATAGTCAACGTCCAAGAGACACTGACCACGTGGTAGCAGGTACTGGCGCCATAGAATTCGATGATTCGCTCCAACGTACTCTACCAATACTGCTGGGTACGAGGCCTCATCTATTTATTCTTGGTAATAGCGAAAAATGCGTATCCTTCAGGAAGAATGGGTCAGGAAGGATGAGTTAGTGCACTTTCCACGGGTAGCGTACGTTTGCCTTACGAGGATGAACAGTAACGACTTTGTCATTACCCGTGGAGCACCTATACGAGATAACTTCAGAAAATATGGACCAAACTACTTGTACAAAAACGGTTTCTACCCAGTGGGTAATCCTGCAATGCGTCCTCAAAGTACCAGCAGTCAGTGATTACCGAGGGTACACCCTTCTTTCGTGCATGATTGGGCGGGGCCGCATTCACCGCCAGTATTTCCACATATGCGATGAGGAGCTCTTGATAAGAACGCCAGAGATCTGCTCTGATTATCCGGCACCGCTCCAAAAGTCGCCGTTCTTCATGGTCCTCGCTCATCAATGTGTCTCTCGTCAACCGCCTTCCGTTTCTCATTTGCACGCTCATGGTTAGTGCCTCTTCGCCGTACGTTTATACAATCTTAGAACTACTGAAGGTTTTTTCAACGTTTCGGGGGACTTGCTTCGATTAGTCGGTTTTCTCGCTTTACCAGCAGCTCAGGTATCTCAAACTCTTGTTTCTAAGCCTCATTGCTGACAATCTGCAATCGCGGCTTATGTTCCCAAACTCTGAATGAATCAGTCGCAGACCCAAGCGACTTTCGTTGGAACTACGCGCAGTCATCCCTAAACCGGTGCTCATTACCGTTAGAGTAGATGCACCTATTGTTCGGTCAATCCACTGCTTTATCAGCCCTTGAATAATTTGTTATATCGGACAAAGATAAGGCAGCGTTCAGACTTCGCGACGGCAGCGCTTCGGTCGCGCGTTCGACGCGATCGATGCAGTTGAAAGCATGCGCATCGATCGCGTCGAACGCGCTGCGCATCGATCGTGCCGAACGCGCTACCAGGAGCTGCCGTCGCGCAGTCTGAACGCTGCCTAAGAGCAATCAAACCTTTATCAACATGTTGAATATTTTCGCGTTCTTCGCGAGACATCGTAGAGTGGACTGACAGTACATATCTTCTTATCTGAAATCCGACAACTTTATCGGTCCTGACCAAAATTTATTGGATGCGCAGCCCAAACTGTCGAATTTGCTGCTTTGAAATGCATGGGCAAGTCTCAGAGCAATCGACTGGATGGGACCATTGGTTAGTTTGGTTTGGATTAGATCCGAGATTTTGTCATGGAATCATGCGCGTAATGATCTTTCTCCACGAAAGCATGCCCGCCCAGGATCAAATAAGGTGCTTAAATAAAGGTTTTACTACAGAGGGAGTCCACGGTTTGTGGTTCGGGAAATTCCTTGATCTTTCGCAAAAACATGCACGCTGCCCAATAGCAATTTCGATGCGAAATCATGGCTT